AACAATTTGTAAACCAACCGGCACACTGTATGTACACCTATGGAAGACAGCTTGATGTTTTTATGTTTTGTTTATGTTTGTTTTTAAAAACCAATAATTTTTTTTTTTAAAAAGAAATACTGGGAATCATTGAAGACGCTCAGAAATATCCTTGAAGTCACCAGAAGCTCAGCTCAAAGGAGACTTGCCTTGACAATGTTACAGTTCTGCCCTGCTTTGTCCTTTATATATAAAATCTGACAGAACAAAGGAAATTAATTTAAATCTGTCTTAATATGGAATTGATAAACCAACAAAGCAAAAAGTAGCCTAGCTTTTCCAGAATCTGAAAAGATTTTTCCATCAGCAATTATTTAGCTCCCTGCAGAAATGGTAGGTTAGAAACCAGTTTTTGATTCCTAAAGTCATTACTAAAGGCAATAATTTATCAAGGGAAGGTTTAATTATTGATTGCAGAGCCTGTGTACTTTGCCCAAGGTTAGAATCGGGGTCACCTATTGCTTCTCTGACCCAGAATGATAGGTATAATCTGATTTGTGTAACTCTGCTGGTGATTTATGGCTTAAGTCTACAACCTGCATGTTGAGACCAATTATTTACCACAGATCTCAGGGCAAACAAAAACATTGATCTTAATCTTTAAATCTACTTCTTCCCCCCGTTTATGTCATTTCATCTGTTAAAGTGTTCTGGAGAATTTGAAAGCTCCCATGTTGAGTCATCTTGGTTGTAATGCAAAGCTATCATTCAACTATAGATTTGATTTCTTTGCTTTCCTCATTGATCAAAAGTGGTCTCTCTTGATCATTCTTGTGCTGCTGATGACATGTTTTTTTATTGCTGGAAAAGATACTTTGCAACATGCAACATTTCCTTAATACATGGATGCTCCATTCAGTGATTGTTGATAATAATGGCTTCCCTGAATAAATGCTCCTATCACTTTCAATTGCATACATGCAGCTAGAGTACATTCATGCATACTATAATACAGGGCTGTCAAACTCACGGCCAATGGGCCAGATGTGTCACTGATTCCTTCTTAGATCTATCCATGTCTCTGTGTATTCAAACATATACATTCAAAATGACTAACACAAATACATTCTTTATTGAGTCAAAGTAATTGAGGAGCTGAAAAGGAACTTGAAAAGAAACCTTCTTGCCACAGCTTGCATTGATGTGCCATCCTGGATGAGCTGCACTACCTGAGCCACTTGTGTGGGTTGTAGACTCCATCTCATGCTACCACTAGAGCGAAAGCACCACCAGCATTCAAAAGTGACCAAACCATCAGCCAGAAAGCATAGGAACTGAGAAGTGGTCTGTGGTCACTACCTGCAGAACCACTCCTTTATTGGGGATGTCTTGCTAACTGCCTCTGCTTTCCACCTCTTGTCTATTCCATTTGCACAACAGCATGTGAAATTGATTGTCAATCAGTGTTGCTACCTAAGTGGACAGTTTGATTTCACAGAAGTGTGATTGACTTGGAGTTACATTGTATTATTTAAGTGTTCCCTTTATTTTTTTGAGCAGTGTATATTGTATTTGGTAGTCTTAACAAGGCTGGTCAAATAGTCTGTAAACGGTTGAATCCAGCAGTTGAATTATCGTAGTTGCATCTCACTTAGTTGCATAGATTCCTGATTGCCCAATCCTTTGAAGGAGTGTGACAAAGCCATTGCAACACAAACATTGGCACTCAGAAATCTGTTCTAATTACATTAGCTCCCATCCAACGATTTACCTGGATTGAATCACCTTGGGAAATGTTTGTGCATGCATTTAGGACTGGTAAACAAGCCTTCAATTTTTAACCTCAGGAGAACTGGTTTCCGGATATCTTCGGTTAGAAATAACATTGCCATTTAGATATGGGTTGGTGGCACAAGTACTTTGGAATTTCCACAGGACTAAAAGGTTGAATATTTCTTTTAACGATAACTTGATAGCAATTATTTCTCAGAGGTTGTTAGACTATACTAAATCAAATGTCCAAGGATACAGTGAGGTATAGAATAAGATAGAACTGTATGTGTTATAATAGATTTAAAATTAATATTCTTTGATTCATAGTTAATCTTTCCCTCTCATCAAAATAAGCAGTGCTGTGTATTTTAATGGCTTGTGTGCCAGGTTCTACGACCTTGTCTCTCTCTCTTTTCTATGGTGAATAATCAAGCAGCAGTTGGCCTTTTGCTGGGTGTGACAAGCATTCAGCTTTCAAAAGGCACTGTGACCCACTTCTAAGGGTATGTCTGCTTCTCTTTTCCCTCCACATAAGGGTGAATTTGTGTCTTTGGCCTCTGACACACCTGCGGTGATTCACAGATGGCTACAGCTTTGGTCCTTTTGTCTATGTTCTCCAATTTACAACAGCGTTTAGATCTCTGTCCTCGATTCTCCCGTGCCATTTGTGGTTGCAGTTCTTTGCTGCCCTTGCTTTATCGGCTGCACCGTTTAATTAAAACAGTCCATTTCCCTGGAAGTTGCCACCCATAAGCAAACCTCTGTTCGAGACTGCCTTTAAGTCTTACGTTACACCCTTTCTCTGTGGTACATTTTTCTGTGAGCTGACTTGCCTCGAAATCTCAGTCCCAGAGCATGCCTCCTTTGCCTAATGCAGAGGTCTCCAAACTTGGCAACTGTAAGACTTGTGGACTTCAAGTCCCAGAATTCTCCAGCCAGCTGGGACTTGAAGTCCACAAGCCTTACAGTTGCCAAGTTTGGAGACCCCTGGCCTAATGAACGGCACAGTGCACTTTTTCAAAGCCTTTCCCTGCTGAGGTTATTTTTTTCCCCTCCATTTGCAAAGTAAATGATAAATGTATAGTTATTTAATTCAATACGTTTTTTTCTCTATAGTGAAATTTGAAGTGGCTTCAGAATCAAGGCCAACCCCATTTTATAGCCCCTTTGCTATGACATTATATGGCTTTTTCTGACACTGGGGTGAAGTGGGGGAATGTAGTGTAACTGGTTGGTCTAGTCTCCCTTTCCTAAGGGAGTTACAAATGATCCCCAACCTGCTGCATGCAAAACATTCCCTCTCCTTCTGCCTAAACACAAAAGTAGACTATTTACCCGAGACCCGTTTCTTGCTTTTAAATGTTTGGCAGATTACAGTCGTGAAAGCCATTTATTACAAAATAATTGCCTGCTTCTTCTTTAATTTCTATTGCCTGTATTTAATTTAAAATAAAGAATTTAAAATAAAGACAAAACATATTTCTTCCAATGTTGGATTGTTACTTAAAACTATTTTCTCTCAGGATGTCTACCCACCTTTAAAAATTTTGGACGACTCTAAAAAAGCTTCTGTTTCTATGGGCTATCATTATTAATATATTTAATATAGTATTACAATTTAATCCTATCACATTTGTAGAATATGTATTTATTGAATCATTTAAAATATATATTTAACCATTAGATATTAACATAAACAAAATATATTTCATGAAAAGAAACAGGTTAATAAATAAAAATAGAAATGAAAGGCATTGTTTCAAGTGTTTGCTTATTATCTGGCTTAATAGAAGACAATTGGATTCTCATGTCTGGTTTTGTATTTAATTTATTGCAATACATTTTTAGTGGAAGAATATCATCTGGCTTCAACACCTATATATGCTTGGAAGAAAGGGAGAGGTATTCTGAGTATTTTTTAGATAATCATGGATAGGTTTTTTTGATACTACACCAAAAACTCATTGAGTGTTAGTTTCTTAAACATTAGGAGCAATGTTGGAATCTGATATATTAATGAATTTTTTGTATTCGATTACATTAAAACCTATTGGTCAATCCTGCACTTTAAATGAATTTTGCACCCAGGCATACCTTTGTAATATGATACTTCAGATAAAGAGAATATGGATTCACTGAGTTCTGTCGATCTTCCAAATTTTGACACATTTCATTTTTTTGTCCCACACCAACAAGACAGTCCAAAACCCACAATATCTTCATTGGTCCAGGCCTTCCCTTCAGAGTGCCAGGCGCCATAATCAAATCAAAACATCTAATCCAGCTAAGTCTTGACTCCTATAAACGGGGAAGATGATCCATTGTAAATATGAATTGCAAAGCATTTGAATTTTGATCATGTGACCATGGGGATGCTGCAGCAGTCGTAAGTATGGAAAATGGCCATAAGTCACAGTTTTAGTGCCATTGAAACTTTGAACAATCACTAAATGAACTTTTGTAAGTTGGGGACTATCCATATTATTTTTTGAACATAGGCTGGAAAATAATTTGATTTTGCACGCCCCTCAGAAGGCAGCCTGGAAGACCTGCTAGGGATCCTCAGACCACATTTTGAGAAGCACTTTTTAAGATGACTTGCAATTTAAAAAAAATATTTAGATTCCTTCTTTTCTCCAGATGGTTATTGCATAGCTTCCTGAAACCTCTGGAGGCTGTGGATCATTTTTCATGAAAATCTGAAAGGGTTTTTCCCAGTGTCTTTGCTTAATATAGATTCCCTTAAATGCACAGTAATGGAATCCCTGCTTGTGAGACACATTGTCCCAACTGCGGTTTGCAGCATCCCAGGCTCTTTGCTCTCTGTTGCCGAGCACAAGGGCAATCCCTTGAGACTTCAGATTATTTTCATCCACTTGAGCGGCCAGAGAGGGGGATTCTTACCCTTCCAGCTTCTGCATCTGCTGAAATTTTCTAACTCTATTTCTGAGAAGTTTATGGCGGTTATTGTAAACTTTTCCTTAGTTGTACAGGGAATTATTCTTCTCTGTCCTCTATGACTCTCTGCACATTTGCTTCAGTCACTGGAACCCAGAATCCTGTTGGAACTTGTAACATTTTTTGTGTCTCTGTGAACATCCAAGAGGAGAAATAACAACCTGAGCAAAATTACAGCTAGTCCTCAACTTACCACCACAATAGAGCCCCAAATTATTGCTAAGCAAGGCAGTTGTTACGTGGGTTTTGCCTCATTTAAGACCCCTTTTTTGCCCAAGTTAAATGAATCATATACTCATTAAATGAATCGGGGTTCCCCATTGACTTTGCTTGCTGGGAGTTGACTGGGAAAGTTACAAATGGTGTTCACATGATTCAGAACAGAATGACTGTCATAAATACATACTACCTGTACTTATTTCTCCCCAAATGTGAAATTAAATATTCGTATATGGTGATAATTTTTTCCAGGTTTTTTTCCCCTATCAATTGAATGATGGACATAATAGCAATAGAGGATGATGTGTTCAGGGTTACAGAGATCCTTGAAAACTTACACATTTATAAATTGTTCTGATTATTCAGAAATTGGACATCTAAAATGGGCCACAAAAAATCTTTTCTCTTCCCAGATTGGTATGATGTATCTTTTTCTAGGCTTCAATCTTAAAATAGCATGAGGGTTGTGATAGGTAATCCTCAACTTACGATCACAATTGAGCCCAAAATTTCTGTTCCTAAGTGAGACATTTGTTAAGTGGGTTTTGTCCAATGGTGGGATTCAATTTTTTTTACTACCAGATTTATGGGTGTGGCTTGGTGGGTGTGGCAGGGGAAGGATACTGCAAAATCCCCATTCCCTCCCTACCCTACTCACCTGCTTTCCAGCCATGTTCTTGTGTGCAGGGCAACAAAAGAAGACCCAGCCGATTAGCTGGGCCTCGGGAAGCAGAGAATAGATGGGGGCAGAGTCAGTCAGAGGTGATATTTGCTGGTTCTCTGAACTACTCAAAATTTCCGCTACTGGTTCTCCAGAACTAGTCAGAATCCGCTGAATACCACCTCTGATCTTGTCCCATTTTACATCCATTCTTGCCACAGTTGCAACAGTGCAAAAATGGCCCAGAAAATGGTGCAAAAATGGCCCAGAAAACAGTGAAAAAAGATCCAGAAAATGACCAGAAAACAGTGCAAAATGGCCCAGAAAACAGCCGGAAAATGGCACAAAAATCGCCTGGAAAATGGCGCAAAAATGGCCCAGAAAACAGTGCAAAAATGGCCCAGAAAACAGTGCAAAAATGGCCCAGAAAACAACCAGAAAATGATGCAAAAATGGCCTGGAAAATGGCTGGAAAACAGCACAAAAATGGCTCAGAAAACAATGCAAAAATGGCCTGGAAAACGGTGCAAAATGGCCCAGAAAACAGCTGGAAAACAGCCCAGATAACACCCCCAAAACAGGCCCTTTTTCAGGCTATTTTCAGGCCATTTTCCAGCGCTACGGCACCTGCAAAGACCATCTGGAAAGCGTGCATGTGCACACCAGAAACCAGAAGAGCAGCTGGCGACACCTCACGTGTCCACAAAGAGGGCTCTGGGTGCCACCACCTCTGGCACCTGTGCCATTGGTTTTCCATCACGGGCATAGACATTGGGTCTGTAAGAAGCACAGTCACATTGTCTGGGGCCCATAAATATGTCTTCCAGCTTTTGGTGCCCTTTTGATGACTTTTCCATTAAAAAACCCCACATACACTAAAGAAGCCCAGTCTAGTGAAGAATCTTCTACATATTTTAGTAACTTCAGAATAACTATGATCTCATTCTCCAATACATTTGGTACTTTGCTTCTGATAAATGTATGGATGTGATGAATATATGAGGGTACATACTGATACAAATTCAACAACATCAATGGAAATTTAGGGCAAAGGCAGAAGTGCCCATGTCTAAAGCTTTCTGTTCTGTTGCTGTGGAACTACAGAATTTCTATGGAATTTTGCCTTTGGGTATTAACATATAATTTACTACTATTAAAATCATATGTCATTCCTATTGGCAAATCGTATGGAAAAGTTTAGCATAACCATACATAATGACAGCCAATATACAGCTGAGATGCTTGAGTTGTACACTGCTTGAATCACCAAACTGATGTCAAATCCATGTCTATATAGCCTAGCTAAATCATATTATGGCATTACAAAAAGACAAGAGAGCCGAATGATCAGATTATCTAAAGATTAATTTTGAAAATATGGGAAGCAATTTGGTACATTCAGACATTTTGGGCTTCAGTCCTTACCAGCTCCTTAGCCAATATTGAGGGATTATCTGAGCTGTAATTCAAAACAAATGGAAGGAATTGCCAAGTTGCTTCTTCCTGTTCTGTTCTGTATAGTTTTCAGCCTTGGGGGAAGCTATAACATTTAAGTTTTGCTTTGTTGCTGCGACTTTCTGCTGATGTCAACAGCTATTTCGCTATTACTCAATACAGTGGAATGCTGCAAATTAGAAATAACAGGCAAAAAAACCTTAGGTCAACAGTTATTGCCTATTCAATATCCCCTCCAGCAACAGAATGCCATAATGCTAATTTAAACACGACACTTTGAAATAGAAGGCTTGCACACAAATGTGCAGATATTCAACCCCTACTGCACATTGAATCACACTTTTTTTTTTAGTTAAGATGGACTTTATACTT